CCACGTGCGCGCGCGCACAGAGGGTGCACCAGGCCAGGCGCTTTCACGCAGCTGTCCTCTGTCAGTGGGCTCCTCCCCTCCCGGTTCATTCTGGGCTTCCAGCCCCTCCTTTGTCCGTGGCTGTGGATCCCGCTCTGCCTTGAAACTTTACTTCTTGCCGCTCACTCAGAAGCTTTATCAGAGGCGTGCTTCGGAAAACAGTTTCCTCAATTTATTTTTGTAACTTGAATGGTAAACAGTTTAAGAGAAAGGTTCCCTCTATGTTTTTCAAGGGACTCGGGCATGTTTACAGCGTGATCATTTGAAAAGGGGAGTTTATTGAATGGTAATAAGGTTGATTCCATATCTCCGATTCCCCTCCAAGAAACAGGGCAGTATGTAATTTGATGCACGCATAGCATCACTTTTCTCTTTAAAGCCCGGCTGCTCGTGAAGGCTGGTGACCTGTCTCCGTTTCTGTGTGAGGATGCCCTCTCTGGCTCAAGTCAGCTCAGTGCTGGTGTCCTTCCGGCCTGGCAGTACTTTCATGAACGGTCCTTCTCCAAGTAGTTCTTCATCTGTCAAGAAGAGGCCACGTTTGATACTGAAAGTCTCACGGGACAGCTCTTTGTCCGTCCACACAATACTAGAAAGCAAAGCGGTCCACTGACAAGAAGTCTGGGGATATGCAGAGAGATCTTGAGTATTCCACAAAGTACTAGTCAGTACAGGTGTATGAAGAATCGCTTGAAGCCAGGAAAAGAGAAACACAGTGTTCCCAAAAGCCAGAGATTAAAAACTACAGTGTCTAAATGCAAAGACACTGGACAGGATTAATGGCAGATTAGACACTGCAGAAGGAGAAAAGATACGTGAATTTAAAGCATAGCAATAGAAACTATACAAAATGAAATGCAAGGAAAAACAAAACAACAAAAATGAACAACTGTGAGGATTAAGTAAATTAGGATACGCAAGGTGGCTGATACACAGCACACGTTTGCCACATATTCCCTTTCTCTGTTCTTTCCTTAACCTGAATTCAAATCACTGAATTCAACTTTGCACCAGGCCCTGCCCCACCACCCTCCCTTTCAGCAAACACTGGGGGAGGCCTGTTTCTCCGCCTCCACCTGCTCTGAAGTGATCAGAGTTCAGAGGCTAAGTGGTCAGAGAGGGAACGACCAGCAGCAAGTAGGACATCTGCACTCAGCCGTCTCCTGAGGCTGAACTGCCCCCCTGAGAGGATGAAGGTCTTCGTGGCTGCCCTCTTTCTCCTCCTCCTCAGCCTCAGCACTGCTTCTGCTTCTGCTTCCTACAGCCAGGCAAGTGAGTCCACCTGCCCCTGTAGGGCAGCGATGAGCAAGGGGACCGGGGCAGCTAGCAGTGAGGTGACACCAAGAACGCTGTCAGATCTCTGTCATCATCCTTGGGGCCTCTCCCCCTCCTGCATGCTTAGCCGCTATCTTGAAACTCTTCCCTTCGTAAGTAGCTGGGCTGTGGTCCAGATCCTTCTGGGGTTGGGCAGTTTTGGGAAGATGGGTCAAGGTTATGTCAGAAGTCCCAAGGGATGAGCCTTTAGGAAGAGGAGCCAAGGAAGTAACAGAAGAGACAACAATAAATGTATGTGCTGAAGAGGCAGGCAAGGCAAGTGGATGAGAACAGCCTGCTCTCTGGGAGAGCAGACAGTGTTGGGTAGGCAGGCCGAGCGATGTTTGGGGCTAAGCTCAGACATGAGGATCTGAACCTAGACACCCCTTCCTGGCACAGACTGCTGGGACTCTCATGGCAACCAAAAGGGGTCCCAACGGGATGCTCACCCAAGTGTGCCATTTGGGGTTTCATGACGCCCATCTCCACCCACCCCACCCCCAGCCTAGATCTAAATAAAGTCTGTGGGAAAAGGGAAAGGGGAAACGGGCTAAAAGGTTTTGGAGCTACAGAATGCTTGGGAGCTATGGAGAACAAGATTTGTTTCACCTTGCTTTACCCCTGCTTCCACCATCATTTATGAGGACCTGGTGACAGGGAAGGGACCACTCAGTCCTTCCACAGACCTGCCTTCTGCTGCCCCAGCCCTTTTCTCCCTAGGCTGCCCTTGGCTTGCAGTCGAGCCCAACTCTGCCTGTATAAATATTTGGAGGAGCAAGGGTCGTGCACACCACATAACCTGCCCACACGCTCTCAGGATGCCCTGATCTAAACTTTGTTTTGAGAGCCAAGGACATTAATGTCACTGTGTGCAGAGGTGCATATGGTGGGATAACAGTGCCCTCTGGGAGGTCAAGCAGGCTTATGCGGTGGGTTCAGGCTTCGAGAAAGAGAAAATGGCTCACCTAAAACACAAGTCAGCCAAATGGTGCGCTCAAGATGTTCCAAGCCTTGCCACCAGCTGTGCTCAGTCCCTGCTAACAGATGGCTTTGCCATCAAAGAAGGGAAGTGCAGTGGACGGGAGGTGGAGGTCATGGGCTCCCTCTCTGCCTCCTCGGGTCAGCTTTCAATGTGATTCCCTCAGGAAGTCCTATGTCAGTGAACATTTCACCCAGCTGCTGCCTGAAGTATGACGAGAAAGTATTACCAAGGAAACTGGTGGTGGGATACAGAAAGGCCTTCAACTGTAACCTGCCAGCAATCATGTAAGTACTTCCCTACAGATATTTCTGTGGAAAAGGAAGGGGAACCAGGGACTGGAATGAATGCATAAAACCAGTAACTCTCCATCTCCATACTAGAAGGAGGAGAGTAGTGATTAAGGGCTTTGACTCTAACAGGACAGGCCTGGGTTGAATTCTTGATTTTGCTACTTATAGCTGTGTGACCCAATAAATAGTGCTCATAATGAAACCCATGCCTGAGGGTCTAGGCTGGGTGGGGAAGGGGCTACAAGTAGGGTTGATGTGGTCTAGAGGCTATAGAGGGAGACCCTCTGATGGGGCCAAGATGGGGGAGGCCTAGGTTAGCCCCGTGTAAGCTAGAAGTGGGGGATTGTGGACTGGACTCCCACTCTACTGTCTGGCCCATGACAGTCTAACTTTGTCTCCACAGCCTTGTCACCAAAAAGAAACGAGAGATCTGCACCAATCCCAACAACAAATTGGTCCAAGATTACATCAAGGATCCCAACCTGCCCTTGCTACCCCCCAGGAAGTTGCCCCAGGTTAAATCTATCTGATCATAGAAAGGCCTAGCCCAGCTCCTCAACCCCTCATGATAGTCAAGCCTCAGTGGAAGCCCAGGTTCAGGAAAGAAAGGTGTGACCCTATGAAAAACGAGGGCAACCTTGTGGTCTGAATGACAGTCACATTCAGAGAAATGAGCCAGTGATCCAAAAAATAAAAGTATTTTGAATACTTTCTCAATCTCTGGAGGAAATGCCAGAGTTAAGGGAGGTGAGCAGGCATACATTCTTAATACACAGAAAAACGCCTTCCACATCTTTCCCCTTGCTCACACTCTCTCACCTAACACCAATACAACAACCACTCTAATAGCTGCATCCCGCTCCCAACCAGCCTGACCATCTCTGGCCTCTGACTCATTAAGAGCTCCACAGAACTCTTGACTTTTCTTGTCCATCCTTATCCTATTTCTAGATCTCTTCCCCCCTACCCCCTACCCTGCCCTCTATTTTTTTTTCCCCTTTTAAAACATAATGTTTGGGAACATTTGAAATCTAGTGTCCCTGCATATGTCATCAGTTTGGCTTTGGCTTAAATAAACATTTACAAAAACTCTCAGGAAAAAAAAGGAATAACTTTTTCTTAGCAGGCCAGGGTGGAAATATCACATGCTAATGATCTTTGTCTTTTTTTTTTTTTAAGTGTCACCTGAGAATATGTTTATTGATTTTTAGAGAGGAAAGGGGAGAAAGAGAAAAAAACAACAGTGACATCCAGCCACAAGCTAGGTATGTGCTCTGACCAAGAATTGAACCCACAAACTTTCAGTGCATAGGACAATGCTCCAGTCAACTGAGCTGCCAGGCCAGGGCTGATCTTGGACACTTTTGCTGAGGTTTTGCCACCTCCCTAAGATTTGGTCTCCCCCTCAGGTGGCATGGGTACAAAGAGCATAAAAACAAAAGAAGAGGTGAGACTTTCTAGCTCCTACACTAAGCTTTTCGGGACAGGAAAAGGGCATTAGACTAGGTTAAGGGTAAAAATCTTGGTCCAAAACTCAACCATTCAATAAAGAAAATTTCCTTTAATCCTAGCTTCATTCCTGACTTCCTTTTTGATAGGGTGGGAGAAAGTTAATCTAGTTGTTTCAGTAGCTTCTCAACATTCTGATGTGGTACATCTACACAATGGAATACTACGCTTCGGGGGGGGCGGTGGGGGAAGAATTCTTACCACTTGCAACAACATGGATGGAACTGGAAAGCATTATGCTAAGCGGGATAAGGACACATATGTAATACCTTAATCAATAAAGAGAGAGAAAACACATTCTAAGCATTTTGTCAAGGTTGGGAGCTGGAGAATTTACATGGCACCAAGGCCAGACATACATACTCAATATCCTCTTCTTGCTACCTTTCTGCCTCCAGCTCAACAGCTGGAAGCTGACTCAGAAAAACGTCAAAATTCCCCCAAAATGCTGTTGTGGAGACAAAACAAAAATCAGATATTCAAATATATGTAATTAAGAGAAACAAATTCAAGTAAAATGATCATTTTGAAAACTAGCCAATGATTTGGATTCTGGTAAATTGACCCATAACTCCTCCTAGTGGCCTCAAGTGGTAATACATGAGCCTGCAACCCCTCCCCAACTGAAGCCCCTGACCACAGCTAGCCAATCAGAATCTCCCTCAGAGAGATGAAATCTGGACCAGAGAAACATAAGGTTGCTGTTGGAGCAGCATCCCAAGGAAAGAAGTCTATAAACTCTTGCACTGAAGTCCCTGGAGCTGCTGCATTTCCTGTCCCCGACAAAGGCTTGGAGGTTTAGCTAGTCTCTCTCAGTTACCAGAGATGCCCCAACATTCATCGTCGTGTGTGTGTGTGTGTGTGTGTGTGTGTGTGTGTGTGTGTGTAATCCCTGAAAGGCCATGGTGGCATTAACACCTCTGGAATAACTTTCTGTTGGTTTAGGTTAATTCTGGTTTGTGTCTGGTAAGTATACATGCCACTTTAAGTATACAGTTTTCAGTGTACAATTCAGTGGGATTAAGTACAGTCACAGTGTTGTGCAATCATCACCACTATTCATCTCCCAGAACTTTTCCATCTTCCCAAACTGAAACTCTGTACCCATTAAATAATAATGCCCCACTCCTCCTTCCCCCAGCCCCTAGTAATCATTATTCTACTTTCTTTCTCTCTGACCTTGACTACTCTAGTTACCTTATATAAGTTGAGTCATATGGTATTTGTCCTTTTGTGACTGGCTTATTTCATTTAGCCTATGTCTTTAAGGTTCATCCATGTTACTTCATGAGTCAGAATTTTATTCCTTTTTAAAATTTAATAACATTCCATCTTGTTTATCTATTCATCCATCCATGGAAATCTGGGTATCCCCCTTTTTGTTTACATTAGCCAGAGTTAGCAGATCTTGGTTCCTGTTACCTGTGCCAAAAGCACTTTAACTCATACAATGACACATCAACCAGTGTTTTCCCTGCCCTTGTCCCTTCACAGGGGGCTGGTGCTACGTGCTTTCAACTCTACTGGGCTGTGAGCTCCTGTTCCTTGATCCAGAAATGGCCACTGAATTTGACCTATAAAGGTCATCAGTGACTTTGAGGAGAGGTCTCAGTGGAAAGTAGTGATAGAAACCCAACCAAAGGGGTGGGAGACGGAATGGGAGGTGTGGAAGTGGGGCCTAGGACTCTACATAGACAACTCTTCTAAAAACTTTTTTGTGAAGAAAAGCAAAATTTAAGGCAAGAGCTAGAAGCAGGTATGGGTTCAAGGGAGGATTTTTAAAGATATGAGGATTTAGAGCATGTTTGGGTGTTAGCTTCAGTTTTCTTTGCTATAAAATGGAAACCAAAAAAATCCACAACTACAGGTTATTAGGAGAATCAGGCCAGTTAACAGATGTAAAGTGCCCAGTACTGTGCCTGGCTCACAGTAGAGATTCAGCACTGATGGGCTCCCTTCTCAGAGAAAGGAAGCTTGAGCCCAGCAGGTTTTCACTGTAAAGGCGAGATGACAGTCTTCAGTCCTCACCCTGCTGACTATAACAGAGGAAAAGAAGCTGATGGAAAGGAACCATGTTAATGGCAAGATCAAGAATAAAAGCTATAAACTCTGGACAAATTTTTAAAATAATTGAAAGCACGAGAGACTTACAAAAGCAGACAGGTTTTGTAGGGGCGTTGAAAATTGGAGCAAAACATCAGGGATAGAGTTCCTAATTTTTGTGGCAGTGGCTTGAGGTCAACTGTAGTTGTTGTGAAGGATGCCACAGGATTGACCAAAATGCTAAGAAAGTTTGTGGCCTTTCTAGCCAGATGAACCAGGGGAAGGAGCCTGAAGAAATAGTGGCTGCTGGAGAGAGAGTGAGAAAACTCCAAAATGAAAAAAAAAAAATCATCAAAAGGGAATTCCAAATTCTTTCTATAAACTTAGCCCAAGTTTCTAGTCCTGACATCCCTAAAACATACATACTTGGGGAAAACTGAAAGCAGCTTGCAGCTAAAACTTAAAGAACTAAACTAAGATCTGATCACCATCTACTGCAGACGTGAAAGTTTGCAGTTTGAACTGGTCATAGGATTGGCTAAAATGCTGACTCGCTGGTTAGAGTGTTGGCTCATGTACGGAAGATCCCGGGTTCAATTCCTGGTCAAGGACATGTACCTGGGTTGATCCCTGGGCCCTGATCAGGGATATTGGGAGGCAACCAATCCACATGTCTCACATCAATGTCTCTCTCCCCTTTCTTCCCTCCCTTCCACTATGAAAATCAATGGAAAAAATATCCTTGGGTGAAGATTAAATAAATAACTAAAGAACAGCAAGAAGCTGCATAACCTTTTCTAATCTAGCCTCTATGTCAGTGATGGAGAACCTTTTGAGCTCAGCGTGTCAGCATTTTGAAAAACCCTAACTTAACTCTGGTGCCATGTCACATATAGAAATT